ACCCATGTCGACTTCCATTCCTCCTTCAACCTGACCTACCACGGCGTCGACATTCAGCAGCACTGGGTCCCCTTTCTCGAGGTCGACGGCCCTCCCTTCGCTGCTAGCCAGGGCAAGGACAAGGACGGCCACATCAAGGGCGAGCACGATATCGAGCACTTTGTCGAGCAGCTCAACTTGATGCGGGACGAGCTTGAGAAGAAGCCTGCGTCCATCAAGGACCAGAAGGGCCCCGCCTTTGCCATGCTCGGCGTCGGCGCCTGGTTCTCCGGCGACGACAAGGAGGGCGAAGCTCCTAACACTGTCAAGTACGAGGCTGCCATCTCCAACGTCTCCGATATTCTGGGCAGTCGCAAGGACTTCTGGAAGGCCCCCATGGACCTCATCGACGGCATCGGCAACCAGGTCTTCTTCGCGCCCCCTGCCGGTCCCTACTACACAGGCAAGGACCACAAGGAGGGCAAGGCCAAGGCCGCCACGAGGGTTACGGCCATGCAGAAGTGGCTGCGCGAGACGGCCGACAAGTGGAACCTGCAGTTCGTCTGGTCCATCCCGGGCCTCGTCGAGCACGACAAGGCCGCCTTTGTCGATCCCACGCAGACCGGATTCCACGTCATTGAGAGCGTTGCCGAGATCAAGGCCAACATTCTCCTGAACCTCCGTTGCAACGCGCGCCTCGACCGTGTCAAGGGCTACCCCTACCAGCGCACCTGCTGCTCCGACTACGGCGGCAGCAAGCCCCTTGACGCAGCTGGTGCTTGTCGGCTTCGGGCATGGTGTACCCTTGTCGTCTGTATTCTGGGCGGAGGACGGGGGGAACCTCATCCGCCCGCCGCAGCACCCCCTCCGTTACGCCGCCTTCCAACATGGGAGACGGGCTCCTTCCGCCATGGCCCCTGCTTATGTGCTTTTTCGCCGACCGCACGCACATTCTCGGCAAGGGAGCCAAGGTCTGGCACTACGCCAACTTTGCCATCATGTGCGCGCCGTGCCTTGCCGTTGCCATTGTTACCATTCGCAAGTCCAAGCCGCCCCGGGCCAAACCCGGTCAGCTCGTCGAGGCCGACCAGCCGTTTCTTTCGCGCGACCAGACGGACGAGTGGAAGGGCTGGATGCAATTTATCATTCTCGTCTACCACTGGACGGCCGCCGCGCGCTTCGACGGGCATCTACATTTTCGTTCGCCTCCTCGTCGCTGCGTACCTCTTCCAGACCGGCTACGGACACACGACCTTCTTCCTTGTGAAGAAGGACTTCTCCTTCAAGCGCATGGCGTCCGTCATGCTGCGCCTCAATCTCTTGAGTGTGTCGCTCGCCTACTTTATGAACACGGACTACATGTTCTACTACTTCTCGCCGCTCGTCAGCTTCTGGTTCATGGTCGTCTATCTCACCATGGCGGTCGGCCACAAGAGGTACAATGACGATATCCAGCTCGTCCTCGCCAAGATCTGCATCTCGGCCGTCATTGTCGCCGTTGTCGTGCTCGCCACACCCCTGACCAAGTGGACCTTTGGCTTCCTGCGCATCTTCTTCAACATCAAGTGGAGCCTCGAGGAGTGGGAGTACCGCGTCGCTCTCGACCTCTTCATCGTCTACATCGGCATGCTTTCCGCCATTGCGTACCTCAAGGTCAAGGAGGAGCTGAGGCTCGCGCTGCGGTGCTCCATGGCCCTCGTCGGCCTCGTCGTCATGGCTGGCTACGCCTACGCCTGCGGCACCACGCTGGCCTCGATGGGCGATTACCGCCTCTGGCACCCCTACCTCTCGTTCGTGCCCATTCTGGCCTTCATCGCCGTGCGCAACGTCTCCGCACCCGTCCGCAACTACTACTCCAAGGGCATGGCCTGGCTTTGCCAGTGCTCGCTCGAGACGTACACGCTTCAGTTCCACCTATTCCTGGCTGCCGACACGCAGGGC